ATGCTGATGCTGGCGCTGCTGTTGAAGATGAAGATGCTGAGGCAGAGGAAGCGTCGTCAAGGTCCATCAAGTGAGAATCAACAAGAGGGCAATGGCAACAATAGGAGGAGCTGTAACAGGAGGAGCGGCAACAGGAGCGGCAACAATAGGAGGAGCTGGGTGGATATCCAGTCAATCGAGTCAATCGAAGATGGAATTTATGAGCTTTGTCCTTGTTATCCCGCGAACGACCTGCGAGGAGCGAATCCTTCGTTGGATCCGTCGAACTTGGCGAAAACGTCGTGGTGTTTAAATTCAAACGACCAACTGCAAGCCAGCGACCTGAACGACCGATGCCAGTTCTAGGTAGCAAGATACCAATGACAACTGCCGATCGATCGCTCGTGTTGTTGTTGCTCCATCCATCGCGAACACCAACTGCCGATCGATCGCTCGTGTTGTTGTTGTTTACGTACATTCAATTTGAAACGAAAAAGTGAGGAGGTTTCGAAGAAGACATAACCCAAGCATGACTCAACCAATTCCAACCGATAATAGAGGGTGAAATGGCTCCCGAAGCATGACTCGAAGCCTGACACACAAGCCGAGCCTTATATATGCAGTCGGAGCTCATTTTTCGACAAATTCTGTTAACTTCTCGATCGCGACCTCTGTTATCGCGGCCGATGTAATGACCTCTGTCGCGGCCGATGTAATGACGCACGGTGTGATGAGGTAAGGCTTTGTCGGTGATAGAGATAACAGTAGTATCAGCAGAATTAGCAGTATTAGTAGCGGCTTCTTTAGCGCTTGGCTGATAGAAAAAGGTGGACTCCCATAGGAGTCCATCGATAGGATCCTCATCGCGATTTCGATCAACGACAGGATGAAAGGTGGACTCCTGTAGGAGTCCATGGTTGCGATTGCTTACGAGCGAATCACCAACAAGAGGAGGATTGCTTACGAGCGAATCCAAGGGAATTAAGTTGCAATAAGGGGAAGGACTACCGATGAAGATAATGAGAGGAAACTCAGGACTCTGCACCAAGGGATAGCTCATTCCATTGACAACCATAAGGGATAGACATATAAGAATAAGAATGAGTAACATCTCATAACCTCGCATGCTACCATGCGACAATACCATTGTGTACTGATTAATCTAACGATCTAAGAGATGTAAAGTTTGTATTTCCAAATAAGTGAGCAGTTACTGATTATTTTCTAGAATAAGCCTGCCAATTGTAAAGCTGTAAAGCTGAATTGTAAGCTGTATCCCGTCGCAGATTCGATTGATTCATTCTGGATGTCATATGCCAACCATCCTGAGACTGAGTCGAGTCTGTCCGCTGACATTGCCGCAAGAAACAGCGAAGCAGCTTTCTTCTTGCATGCACCGTTCTTAACAGTAGTTGGCCAAACACTGTTGTGGTCCTGCTTGCCCTGGTTGGCCACATCATCTATCTGTATTCACTTCCAAAAGATCTGTCTCGTGACTCAGTAGCCAGTATCCCTGTCCGCCACATAGAGCAAGGGTTCGCCTGCTTCGGCTCTCCTAATGTTCTCTGCAATCACTTTGCATGCGCTGTGGGCCCTGGTTTTGGCTGCAATGTGGGGCGTAATGAGAACATTTGGCTGCTTCCAGAATCCGTGGTCCTTGGGGAGTGGCTCTGTTTTGAAGACATCCAGAGTAGCCCCTGCTACGGTTCCATTGTCGAGTGCTTCCAATAGCGCGTCCTCGTCGATGGCACTCCCTCTTCCGCTGTTGATGATTCGAATGCCTGGTTTACACTGTGCCAGGGTGTCCCGGTTGATGATATCGTGGGTTTCGGGTGTGTTGGGAAGCAAAAGGACCAAAATATCTGATTCCTGCAGGACTTGTCCCAAACCAGTAGGGCCGTGATAACAGAGGACACCTTCATGGTCTCGGGGAGACCTGGACCAACCATAGACTTGAAACCCTAGTTGAACCAAGGCATCCGCACAGGATCCTCCCAACTCTCCAAGTCCCAATATCCCTACTGCACATTGTCGTGCTAGTGGCATTGATTCGCTCTGCATCCATTCCCCGGCATTTTTGCTTCTCCACAGCAAATCCATATTCAAATGATATCTCATGACATTCCCGACTACATATTCCACCATACCCTCTCGCAAACTAGGATCAACCATTCGTGTGAGGGGTACAGTTCGTGGTAAAGTTGGATTGGTGGCCACCCCCTCTAACCCAGCCCGAAGACTCATGACCACCTTGGCGTTGCAAAATGGCGAAAAGTCCTTCAAAGGCCCATTTGGGCTATAGATTATGTAGTCAATGGATTCAGGACTCTCGGACAGATCATCGGTGAGGCAGACGTCCAGGTGCATCTCTTTGAAAGCTTCTTGAAGGGCTTGATGATATTCATCGTACCGCTGAGGATACCCCGCATACAACGCATGAATGCGTTGTCCAGTGGCAGCTGAAGGAGACAACGAGCGAACCGATCCGAAGATGAGAAAGGCAAAAAACCAAGAAGGTCTTCTTGCTCCTGAGATCATTCCTCTGCTCATGCTTCTGCTGCCCAAGGCTTTGGCTTTCGCCGATGATACTTTTAAGGAGTCGAGTCAGATAGGCTTGGCTCTTGGTCTCTTGTGAGAGCCGAGCTTTAGAAGGTGATGGCGTGATCGATGCGTGATTGGCAGCATCCTAACCGTTAACCCTAAATCGACGTTGAAGTATCTTTGTCTCGCTCTTGCAAAAGGTGCCTCAGATCTCAGATCCACACAAAACTCCAGCACCCTCCATCATTATTCAACATCAAAGATGATCAAACTAGCACTAGTCTGCTTGGCTCTTCTTCTCGCGTCCAACGCTGTAGCGTTTGCCCCTGGTCTTCCCATCCCTCACGCAACAAGTCTGCATCTTGCCGACGAAGCGACGGAAGTTTCTCCCTTTGATGCCTACGAACAAACTGCTGCTCAAACCACGGTGGAATACAAGGATTTTGTGACTGGCACTGGACCTGCATCTGAAGACGGCAATTTGCTAAAGGTCAAGTATGAAGGCCGCTTGATGGCTTCCAACAAAAAGTTTGATGTCGCGGAAGAATTTGTCTTTCGAATTGGCGAAGGAAGGGTTGCGCCGGGATTTTCAGCTGGTGTGGCTGGAATGAAAGTGGGAGGCAAGCGACAAGTGAAGATCCCTCCGAATCTCGCATATGGAGACCAGTGGTTCAAAGGAGTCATCCCGCCCTCCTCGCACCTTGATTTTGATGTGGAGTTGCTTGAAGTAGCTCAATCACAACAGGAAGAGCTCATGATGCAATTGAATGATTTTGGAGTTGCTCGGTTGCTGGGATTGATAGCTTGTTTTGGTGTGCTAGCGATCACACCAATGTTGCCAAGTTAAAGCTATAGAAACTTTCTTTTGTCTTGCAATTGGAAAACTAGAACTGGATTCTACTACTGGTAGCATAAAATGGAACTCGTATGCGAAGTTTGGCTGTGAATAATAAGTTGGCAATTGGATGAGTGTCTCAATGATTGACAGAAGAGCAAAATCAACTCTACCAGGGTTACTCGGCATTCTGTCTGTTTTTGTGTTTTGGCGATAAAGGGATCCTTTGACTTATGGAAATGTCTACAGACCGTTGAAAAGATTTAAGACATTAGGAGACATTAGGAGACAAAGTGATACATTGGTAGACATTAGTATACAAAGTGAGACATTGGTAGACAAAGTGAGACATTGTGAGACATTGGTAGACAAAGTGAGACATTGTGAGACATTTTTGTACTGTTTTACAGTACCTTGTAGACATTAGTAGACAAAGTGATACATTGGTAGACATTAGTAGACAAAGTGATACATTGGTAGACAAAGTGAGACATTGTGAGACATTGGTATACAAAGTGAGACATTGTGAGACATAAGCCACTTTTTCTAAGGAGCATAGAACATTTAAGCAACTCTTTAATCAGACACAATAGCTTAAATAGACAAAATGCTGAGTAACCCAGGACTAAGATGACTATTGCCTGCAACTAGCTATTAGTTTATGTATTCATTGAAACTCTGCAACACGTCGTGGTTTGCCTTGGCGTTTCTTCGTCCTTCAGGCATGTACCATGCCACCTTTCAGCACCGGAGCAATCACTTTCACTGCTCCGATAGTAAAGAATGGCGCTTCAACAGGCACGTCCGTAACGCTTCTGCAGTACAAATTGTATCCATGAATTTACGTTTAAAACAAGTAAGTTTGTACATACACCAAAATTGAACGGACTACAAGCAAGTGGTCGCTCGCAGCAAGCAGTATTGCAATTCGGTCGGAACGGAAAGTAAAGCCGTCGCCAAAGCTCTCACGAATCCCATTCAAATTGAGTGAGAGCAGCGAAGGTTCATATAGGAGAACCCAATCGAGGGAGGACGAGGGCAACGCAACGTATGTTGTTGTGTACAAGTGAGCGCTTCGATGGCTCTCAAGGGTGCATATCTAAGGTAGGGAAGGTGGTACCGTTGCACCGTCGGAGAACTCCTTTGATGACTTTCTTTTCTTGAGCTCGTTCTTGATGGCCTCAGGATGGAAGTGACCAAAGTGAGGCCCATCATCATTGGAATCATCAAAGGAGTCATTGCGATTGTGACGGATCGCTCTCTGTTCTTCTTCAAGCTCCTCATCAGTTTCAGCAGAAGGATCCAGATACTTCAGGTCAGCCTCGGAAAAGACTCTGGATAGGATGTAGGAACGCAGTGGAACCAGGGCTGTCAGGAGCGCTGGGTAAATGTATCCTGAGAAAGCCAACAAACGAGACAAGCGTGGGTCAGACTCTCAAATGTCTACATATCGCAACCTTCAGAGTTCATTGTCATCTGAATGTGAACCTACCAACAGAAGCGAATTGGGCGACAGCAAAGACGGAGAGACCGCAGGCTGCTTGGACGAAAGTATAAATTTGAACCGTGGACCACTTGACCTCTCGTACGATAGGAATATCGGGGCGTTTCTTTGCCATCATGAAGCACATTACCATGCGTTCCCAGATCTCGTTGCCATGGAGAGCTCCCATACCCAAGTAAAGGAACAATCCGAACAAACAACCCCGTGGGATCCAACTGATTACTTCAAACGATGCCAAAGCTACAAACATCAGCAGAGCTTGTCCGAGCCCAGAATACCTCTGTTCTTCACAGTGGGTGACCACTTCATGCTTTACACCGCGGCTGTCGGTGACATACTTTCGCGTACACTGTTTATGGCAAGACAGGGCGAGATCGTGAGATTTGCACAATTCCTCCAAGTAAAACCCATTACAAAACAACTTTGTTGCGCTTACCAAGGCCCGGGCATGAAGAGGAGCCTGCGGGATCAATCCATTGCCAGGTGGAAGTCCCAAAATGGCGCAAGGAATGAACGTAATACCAAGGACGAAGAAATCCCAATGATACGCCGGAGGCTTCTTCAGGTTCAACTTTGGACTCTGCGTCAGAATGGAGCTGACATTGTGATCAATGATAAAGAGCAGAAAGAACATGAATCCAGGAATAATTGCCCCAAAGATGCCACGGGCATCAATGCCACTGAAGGGGTCAGTCACCCACGGTCTATCGGCGGTTGGTTGCCAGTCCCACGGTGCCATAATGTTGACTCGATCCAAGCCCCCTGCACCATTCTCGGATAGATCGACGCCAGGAAGGTAGGACAAGGCAGTGGCGATAACGACAGCCAGGAGAGTATTGTAGCTGGTCAAGAAGGTACGCACTTGTCGTGTCAGGATGACCCACTGCTCGGCAAAGTGAAGCCCCCACGCCACGCCGAATGTGACCAATCCAATCATGAGGGTAGCATACTGAGCACTGCGGTCGACTCGGTAGTCACCTTGCCCCAGATAGATCGGTTGGATCAAGTCTCGTACCGCAGCATAGATAAAAGTTGTAGCGATGAAGAATTCAAAAATTTGACTGGTAAAGGGCGTGACCTTCCACACCAGGTGAACCAGTCCGATCATACTGGAGATGATGTGCATGAGCCCCGCCCAGATGCAGATCCAGAAGAAGAATGGAAAGTATTCTGCGTTGAATGTTTCGGTAAGGCCATAAGAAGTCCCCAACAAAATGGCTACGGGTCCTGTGATTCCCATAATGGTTAGAGGTTGTCCTGCAAAGATGGCATAGATGATTCCCATGATTCCAGAGCTCAGGAGGGTTTCTGCAGTGGCCAGGTTCCCGTTGGTCTCTCGGTCCATCAGCTCTGCAAAAATTAGAGCTGGAATGAGCTGAATGACAAAGGCAAAGACCGTAGCATTGATAACGGTAAAAATACTCTTTGGACGCCCCCAGTCGCTCTTGTAGAGTGGTCCTCGCGCGGCCAGGTCTTCTTTGATTCCCTTCATAAAGACAAAGAGCTGTTGCTCTTCTTCCTCTTCATTCTTGTCGTTTTTTTCGTCGCTCCCTTCGGTCTCATTGGCGTTGGGTGTTGATTCAGTCAACTCCACTTTGCCAGGGAACGACTCTTCGACCCCGTCTACTTCGACACCGTCTTCTGCCAATCTGGGTGCCATGTTGTCTTGATGTTTTCTCGTCAGGTGTTGCCGTTCGTCCAATACTTTGATGAGCTCCTTAGCCTATAGGTCCGTTCGATTGAAATTTATAAACAAAGGTTGGATGGGTGATGGATGGATAGAGAGCTTTTCGAGTTGTTGGACCTCCGAATGTTGTGGACGCCAAAGAATTCCTCAAACGGATGTCTCTTCTCATCAGGCAAAATGTGGCACGACCAGCTCACGGTTATTGCAAACATACGATCGTATGTTTGCCACGCAAGCATTTTCGTGATAACCCTAAATCTCGAATACTGTATTGGGGATAGAAATACATGTAGTTCATGTACAGGCACGTCACACGGAAGGAGAATGCACCAATCAAATTCATTCGGAAAGTCGCGGGAGTTGGGAATACAGGTGGTGGCTCGAGGCACGCGCGGATTGCTGTACGGTGGTATGTACAGTACCATGGTACTAGAAAGTGCGTACCTGTACGTACACTACTGCTATGAGTTCCGGTACATGTACCGTACGGTAAAATGCCGCACGGTTGGTACTGGGGGACCATTACAGGAACTACTCCGTTACCGTATGTTTACTCAGGTCTTGTTCGATAACTTCATCTTTACTCCTTCTAAGGTTATCTGTTTGTCTCCAGTCTCCAGTCACACCTCCACGATCATTCCTTTCCTTGGGATTGGAAGTTGCTTGTACACATCTATCAGTCACATCTACTGTACCGTACTTCTAGAGTCTGATCTTGTCTTGTCTTGTCTTGGGGATTCCAAGGTTATTCTAGTTTTGCTGTTTCTTTCCCTTTTTCGTTTGCTTTCTCTTTCCCTTTTGATTTGGCTTTTCCTTCTCATCATCTGCTTTCAATGCATCAGCCTGAATCTGCAAGGGCAGGAAGGCATCTGAGTACCCGTTGATCAGAGCCAAAGCAATTGTCAAGACCGTCCCTTCCAACTGCTCATCCAAAAAGGTCAAGATGGAATCGCTGACATCAACTTCTCCAAAGGCTGTGGCAACAGACGTTTCTCCGCTGACAGTGGCATTGGCAACTTCAAAGTCCAAGTCTTTGACAGTGTAGGCCGTGATCTTGTTCAGCCCGGAGAAACGTGTCAAACCATTAATGTCAACGTCAAACAACGCCGAAATGCCCTCGACCTCCATGATGCCAGCTTTGGTTTCAGAAACGTTCTGACCACAGGCAGACGAGGTGAGGGTGTACGACATGTCCACCTCAGCTCGATCCAACTGCCCATTGATATTCCAATTTCCACCCTTCCAAGTTACCTTGCCTTTCTTGATGTTGTATCTGGGCGAAGCAATTTCGGTGATGCTGTCAAAAGTGAGGTTGCTGAGCCCCGACACTGAATTCAATGTCACTGCAAGTGTGGCATTCATGGGGCATCCATCGAACTCTGTGAGATTAAAGTGTGGGTGTATCCATAAAAGTTGAACGGATCCATCCTGTTCCCAAGTTCCTCAATAAAGGCGCCACCAAGCATGGGCATGAACTGAGGCATGAGATTGTTGACGAGCTTCTTGATCAACTGGACAACATCACGGCGGGGCCACTTGGCAGGCCTACGGCCAAGCTCGCGGTGGAACATTGGGTGGATATCTTCGTCCTGGGGTAGGTCGATTCTGTTGAAGAGACTAAAGGTAGCGATAGATGTATTACGAATGATGTTATAAGATTATGAGGAAAAGCTACTTTGTTGTCTCTGGATCTGTAGATGAGTGGAGGCTAGATTCTGGTTGACGGTGGACGGTCAGACGG